GTGTCTGTCTGTCTGTGTGTCTGTCTGTCTGTCTGTCTGTCTGTCTGTCTGTCTGTCTGTCTGTCTGTTTGTCTCTCTCTCTCTCTCTCTCTCTCTCTCTCTCTCTCTCTCTCACACACACACACACACACACACACACACACACACACACACACACACACACACACACACACACACACACACACACACACACACACACACACTCTCTTCATCCACTCCTCTCTCTCTCCCATATGACCTTAGCAGTTGCGAGCGCCGTAAAACCTTATACTACTACTACTCCCATTTTCACTTGCTATTTCTTCAGTCTCACTGTCGGGTATGCACGTCATGTATGTACCAGGAAAGGTAACAATTGATTGTTATAACAAGTATGCATTTGGGAACGATTAATTGTTCAGCTGTTTTTTAATTCTCATTGTGAATATTAGCAGCACTCCTTATCTTACATATATGGGAATTCGTTACATTCATGGGGACCAAAGTAGGAAAAGGAACTCTTGTCGTATGTCCTGTAATTCTGCTTTGAGATTTTAAGGATCGAATTTTAATTGTCAGTGGCCGAATTAAGGGCTCTGGGTGGATTATGAACTCCTGGGATTGTTTTAGAATATACAGGTGCAGTATCATTTAGACATTTGAAACAGAAAACGGCAGTTTTGCATTTGATCCTTTGTGTTACTGGCAGCCAATGTAATTGTTTTCATAATGGGTGCTTGACTTCTTTTATTTTATTATCAATTTCGCTGATTAATTTTGAGGAGCTTATAACTTTGGAAGTTTGTCAGCCGTCAAACTGGATAAATTAGCATTACAGTTATCATCATGTAGGCACTTCAGTGAACGCGCTCACTATAGCGTCATTTGGCTTCGGAAAGTCCCATAGGGTTTTGTTTCCGGACATGACGTCTCATCGCGACAGTGGGTTCAAACTGCCCATATTTTTGTTTAATTTAGGGAACCAACATTCAAGTCTGATACATGTCTATAAAGACATGTGAATGGCCTTCAAAACGCTTCTTTCCAGGTCGATATGTGACTCATGAGTCTTGAAATACTTCAAGTTGAAAAATAGACAGTTTTTAACCATTGATTTTTGATACATTTTCTCGTCATATTTTTTTCAAACTACCCTTGTTGGTAAACCATTCTTTGTTCTTCCAGAAAACGTTCAAACGGTTATCGTAGAAGTCTTACCTTGGCTAGTGAAGTCTTACCCTTTTATCAACCAAATCCGCGAAAACCTAGCTTAACCCTTCCACCGTGACATCACGCAGAGTCGTGACGTCACGCATTTTCGCCTTGAGCTTTTGGCTCCCTCTCTTCATTGTTTGAAATGTACGAGACAGGGAAATACATCGCCAAGAGATTTTTAAACTTCAGTTCAAAAGTTAATCAATTTTGGCAATGTTTTATAATAACTGACCTCACATTGTGCCTTAGTTTTTTCGATAGTATAAAGAAAACGAGACTTTTTAGACCCAAGTATTTCCTGTTCACTGAGCTCCCCCCTCCCTCCTTTTTTCCCCCTGCCCAAAGCCTTTCATTGCGTAGGCCTGGGGCCTAGATCTAGTACGAAGAGTCCGGACTCGTGTTGTTAACACTGTCAAAAATTAAATTGGGACGCCTATTTTAGTATCTGATGCAATTATTTGCTTGATAAAGTTTCTTAGGTCTACTGTTAGTACCGATCCAGATTTTCTTTCTTTTCTGTCATATGAACAAGAACGAAAAATGCTATGTACTGGGTTGTGGGCCCCCAAAGACCCCCCCCCCCCCCCCCGCGGGGGGCCCCGCCTTTTTTGCTTCTCTTTGTGCCCCCGGCCCTCCCCCCAGGCTCCCCTCCCCCCCCCTGGGGGGGCACTATGTGGGGGGGGCGTGCTCTGTGTGTTACTGTGTGTGTGTGTAAGTGTGTGTGTGTGTGTGTGTGTGTGTGTGCGCGGGCGCGCGCGCGTGTGTGTGTGTGTGTGTGTGTGTGTGTGGTTTCGTGTGTTCCCACTCCCCTCTTATTTTCATAACCGTACCTCTCTTTTCTTCTCCATCCCACTTTACCTGCTCTTCAACTTTATAGATTTTCTCTATTATGTATCCTTCTTGTCTTATTTGTCTTCTAATCGCCACCGCCGCCATCCTTCGACGACTCACGGTATTAGCTGTGTAAGCCTATTACTCTTTTCCACTGATGAAACAACCCTGAAGAAAGATGCCAGTTGCAACAAAGGGAGCACGTTTGCTCCTCAGTTCTTACTTTATTTTACTTTTTCCCTCCTCTGGTATCCTTAGGATGTCGAGGGGAGGTGCAGGTTTCGGCGTCTGTGATAGATATGCTAATTAGTTATATTGTTCCAGGGCCTTTTTAACCCCATCCAGTCAGGTCTTTCTTGGTCTTCCTCTTGATTTAAAGCCGGATTCGCGGGTGTGATAAGCTCTAGCCGCTAGTTGTTTCTGGGGCATTCTGGTTAGATGTCCGAACCATTTGACTCTTTGACGCTCTAATAAATTTACTACTGGTAGACGTTTGATCTCCTTCCTTATGCGGTCTCCTCTGATGACGTTGGTGGTTTTGCAGAAACATCTAATTTCGCGTGCATTGATTTTATGTTCTCATGCCTTGTTTAGAGACCATGTTTGGCACTGGTACGTTAAGGTTGGTATGAAGATTCTATTGATGAGCTGGGGATGTCACTTCAGTTGGGATGTTCTTGTGATTGAGAAGGGGTGCTAGCTGGTAGGTCACTGCATTTGCCTTCATAGTTCTTTTTCTTTGTCCATACGCCCATCTAGTGAAAAGATGCTTCCCAAATATTTAAATTCCTCTACTTGTTGGAGTTGTGTTCCATCAACAAGGATTTTGAGTTTCCCTGGGGTTTTTCTTGCCTTCATAACTTCTGTTTTTGAAATGAAGATTTTCATGTTTAGGTGTTTACATTCCTCATTAATTAATTTTGTTGCGTGTTTTTGTGATTCCTCTTCATCTGTATTTAATGTACTCTGGTCATCAGTAAACACAAGCTCGCTCAGTTCATTGATGTTGTCATTTGATGCTTTCGTGATCTTATCCATGTAGGTGATGAAG